TTTCGGGGCTGTCGCTGGGCAATACAGACTTTCTGCTCCCTCCAAAGATTTTCTATTGGGTTCAGGTCTGGAGACTGGCTAGGCCATTGAGATGCTTCTTACGGAGCCACTCCTTAGTTGCCCTGGCTGTGTGTTTCGGGTCGTTGTCATGCTGGAAGACCCAGCCACGACCCATCTTCAATGCTCTTACTGAGGGAAGGAGGTTGTTGGCCAAGATCTCGCGATACATGGCCCATTCCATCCTCCCCTCAATACGGTGCAGTCGTCCTGTCCCCTTTGCAGAAAAGCATCCCCAAAGAATGATGTTTCCACCTCCATGCTTCACGGTTGGGATGGTGTTCTTGGGGTTGTACTCATCCTTCTTCTTCCTCCAAACACGGCAAGTGGAGTTTAGACCAAAAAGCTCTATTTTTGTCTCATCAGACCACATGACCTTCTCCCATTCCTCCTCTGGATCATCCAGATGGTCATTGGCAAACTTCAGACGGGCCTGGACATGCGCTGGCTTGAGCAGGGGGACCTTGCGTGCGCTGCAGGATTTTAATCCATGACGGCATAGTGTGTTACTAATGGTTTTCTTTGAAACTGTGGTCCCAGCTCTCTTCAGGTCATTGACCAGGTCCTGCCGTGTAGTTCTGGGCTGATCCCTCACCTTCCTCATGATCATTGATGCCCCACGAGGTGAGATCTTGCATGGAGCCACAGACCGAGGGTGATTGACCGTCATCTTGAACTTCTTCCATTTTCTAATAATTGCGCCAACAGTTGTTGCCTTCTCACCAAGCTGCTTGCCTATTGTCCTGTAGCCCAACCCAGCCTTGTGAAGGTCTACAATTTTATCCCTGATGTCCTTACACAGCTCTCTGTTCTTGGCCATTGTGGAGAGGTTGGAGTCTGTTTGATTGAGTTTGTGGACAGGTGTTTTTTATACAGGTAACAAGTTCAAACAGGTAAAGTTAATACAGGTAATGAGTGGAGAACAGGAGGGCTTCTTAAAGAAAAACTAACAGGTCTGTGAGAGCTGGAATTTTTACTGGTTGGTAGGTGATCAAATACTTATGTCATGCAATAAAATGCAAATTAATTACTTAAAAATCATACAATGTGATTTTCTGGATTTTTGTTTTAGATTCCGTCTCGCACAGTTGAAGTGTACCTATGATAAAAATTACAGACCTCTACATGCTTTGTAAGTAGGAAAACCTGCAAAATCGGCAGTGTATCAAATACTTGTTCTCCCCACTGTATATCTCACTAGATCAGGATATTTAAGCCTCCATATATCTACTAGTTATAATGTATCCATGACATTCACGATTTCCTTAAGAGCATGAGGGTGGTAGTTTGTAGTGTGATTTCCTTTACGGTCCATTGAGCTATTTAAAACAGTATTATAATCCCCCACCATAATAATAGAGTCTTGAATTGCTTGCAAGGTCGATAATTTATTATATATATTTTCAAAGAAGTGTGGATCATCATTATTTGGTCCGTAAAGGTTAATGAGCCATATTTGTTTATGGTCCAATAACATATTTAAAATAATCCATCTACCTTGCATATCTTTTTGGACAATTGCACATTCGGATCGAAATTACTGATAATTAATATCATCACCCCTTTTGAGTTTCTTAGCCCATGGGAATAGCTACTTTCCTTACTGAGGAGTTGGCAACACTGGCCAGGTGCTACCATACAGTTTGAGATGAATGCATGTAACAGTAACCACGTTTCCTTCCAGTTTTTATGCGAGTAAAGTCCTACCGGAGAAAAAAAATTAAATAAAAACATGACAGTGGTGATTGAAACAGGACGTTTTCGTACAATTTTATAAATGCAGACAGATCATTTGTTCGTTCGACATGTTGGGATCTTTTTGTGTCTGTAAAATGTATTATGCGAGAAAAGACTGTGGAAACGCATTTATGTGCAAATTATATTGATATAATAACCATCATATCGAAGTAAACTTGGAGTCTTGCGATGATATGGTGTTGGTGTGTGGTCCTCCCACTACGACTCGGGAAACCATGCAGTTTATTAGGCTACAGATGAAATAAATTATGATGAACTTCACAGGGTGTTGAAAGTGCACAGTGATGAGCTTGATGCTGCTTTCCAATAAATATCGAGGGTCATGGTGACATGATGCTTGACTGCCGTTTGACAAATAAAAATAGTCTCGCTCTTCTCCATAATAATCTCATCATGTAGGTTAGCGTACCCACACTGTATCTGCCAGCTGTTGGCTAGAGCGCACGTGACGAGACCACAGTAGGCACATTTGCTATTTAACGCAATAGTTTTTGTAACAAAACTATCCATAGGGTTTTAAATGCGATGGAATAACATTGGACTTCATATTTTTATTCGGTACATGAAAACTGAAGTGAAAAAGTACATTGTGTACACTGTAATAGTGCACTGATTTCTGAGCGAACCAATCAAAGCTCAAGCCAATTGTTGCGGGAATATTGCACCAACAAACTGACTCCTGTCCAGACCAGTGTCTCACAACTCTCCCTCACTGTGTACCACGTGAGTCGCATCTGCCAGTCTACCATTCTTGGCCCAGGAACTCAATCCTCACCTGAGGCCTAGGCTGGACTCCTAGATATGACACAACCCTCTGGAAGCCAATGGAGATGCGTGACTTCTGAAATTATTCCCAAATAAACTCTACTCCTCTGCCTAGTTTCAGTCTTAGACATACAGTAGGTGTTTATACATTTGAAATTCATGTTGAAATTTTTTTATGAGATATTGTATAGTTTTTTTCTTGCTTATCAGCCTTACTGTAAGAACAGAGTCCATGAGTTTCTGAAGAATTTAATCGACCAGTCTCTCAGTTCATGTGGCCAAATTTGACCTGTTAACCTAGTATTATTGACCATGTGGCACAGGCAACCATAAAGTCTGCTAATACATAAAACAAAACAAAAATGTTTAAAGGCCCAATGCAGCTGTTTTTATCTCAATATCAAATCATTTCTGGGTAACAATTAAGTACCTTACTGTGATTGTTTTCAATTAAAATGGTCAAAAAGAAACAAAAGTCGCTTCTTAGCAAAGAGCAATTTCTCCAGCAAAAATTTTGCTAGGACTGTCTGGGAGTTGTGTGAGTGGGGAGGGGAAAAACTAGGATGTTATTGGCAGAGAGGTTTGGAACTCTATTTCGTATTGGTCTATTAACTAACCTGTACCCCTGCACATTGACTCAGTACCGGTACCCCCTGTATATAGCCTCGTTATTGTTATGTAAATGTATTGTGTTACTTTTGTATTAATTTTTTATTTTGTTTATTTGGTAAATATTTTCTTAACTCTATTTCTTGAACTGCATTATTGGTTAAGGGCGTGTAAGTAAGCATTTCACGGTAAGGTCTACACCTGTTGTATTCGGCGCGTGTGACAAATAAAACGTGATTTGATTTGATAGACGTCACAAGGCAGGCCAAAACTCCATCCCACCAAAACAGGCTGAAATTCCAGGTGGTCTTTTCAAACTGCTCTTACACTAAAAGGGCATTATCATCATTTTCACAATTTCAAAGTATTATTCCAACCTCAGTGTGGAAATATATATAAAACACAGGAAAATCACTTTTGACTGCACTTGGCCTTTAATGAGTAAAAACATCATAGTATTAGGAATTTCGTAGTAAGTCATGTCAATGAGTCAGTCAAATTTGTATTGTTTAATAAGTAAATAATAAATGATCACTACCTAAAGAATTCAATTCACCACTCTATTTAGTCCAGAGTTGTCCTTGGTCAGGTCACATGGTCAGGAAAAAAAATAACCTGTCTCACTGGCCTTAACCAAAGATGGTGGTATATACTTAATCTCTATACTGTAATTACGTTAAAATGTTTGGGAATCGGCTATTGAAAGTGTTAAGAAGGAAAGCCCACCACACTGGGGTAGTAATAAACCGGAGGTGATTTAGAACAACTCTGGATTCTGATTAGCTGCTTGGAAGGAAAGTCACCCAAATGCTGAGAGGCTGAGAGAGGCTGAGTGAGGGAGAGAGAGAGAGGGAGAGAGAGAGAGAGAGAAAATTCCTAGAGGATCTGAACGGGAGCATAGGCTACTAGTCCCTGAGCTGCTGATTTAAACAGGACACTCAGAAGAGTAGCGGGATACTGAGTTGATGGATCTTTCTTGAGGCGTTGAATACTTAGGGTAACTGGATTTATTTTGTTCAAAGAGTCTCATTGTGGATTGTGAGAATAATTACATTACATGTTATTTTCCTATGTGCAGGGTTTCGCAAATAAAAACAAATCCAACCAAATTGCTGGATTTCTAGGTTTTCTGTTTTCACTGAGGGATTGGCTTTAAAGATGATCTTGACTCGTTTTTGTCGGATCCTTAACTAACTCAGACAGGTAGGTGAGAATGCATGTTACTGTATGAACCGTTTACATAATGACATAATAATTGGGCTGTTTTTATGTGTTTTACCTTTAGATGATCTTACAGGGTGAGTTGGGGAGAACTTTTTCCATGTCCTATTGTTGTGCAATGAATTAATAACTTTGTTAAACTGCCTGTTTATGTGCTGAATAACCTTACTGTACCTTAAATACTGTAACTGGAGGGGTTGGTTTCCTTGAGCAGGGTTTAATATAATGATTCGCTCAATTTGGGTTTGGTTCAGTAATACTTGCTAAGTCATGCCCCCCTTTTAAAGCTTTGCCACACAAGGAGATATTGCTGGTGAAGTGTTTTTCACTGTACATATTTATTTTATGTGCTAAGCATTTGAGAATGCAATTTATAGTAAATTGGGCACTATCAGTTATGGGCATGACCTGCAATGGCACCAGACGGAGTGGGAACGGGGTCAAACCTCTGATCTGAGTGAGGACCTAAAAATAATAATGCTAATTTAAGATACAACAGTAATAAAACTGACAACATATATAACAGGACATAGCTGTGTGTGTGTGTGTTAGGTGGTGTGTTATTTATATATTTTTTGTGAATAGCACGAGTGAGGGAGGGTAGACTGGAGGAGTTGTTGACACACGACTGTCTCTAAACTAAACTACGGGTATTACAGGAGCCGCTGTTCATGGAGATCTGGACACTTCTATGCCTGGCTCATATATCACAGGTAACACTGATTTATAATTAAAAACAACATACCCTTAACTATTATGTATGTCAGCATTTTCCAAACTCAGTCCTGGGGACCCCAAGCGGTGTACATTTTTGTTTTTGCCCTAGCACTACACAGCTGATTCAAATGGTCAACTCATCATTAAGCTTTGACTATTTGAATCAGCTGTGTAGTGCTAGGGCAAAAACAAAAATGTGCATCCCTTGGGGTCCCCAGGACAGAGTCTGGGAAACGCTGCTGTATGTGTAGTTTTGTATGTGTTTACTATTTTCTGTCTAGCTAGCTAATCTAGTTTATGTAGTTCATGGGACTTTTCAAAACGTTATTTGCTTTTACGTATATGGAATGCTGATTATAATATACTTTTTTGGGCAGTAATAGAGGTGAGAGAGATATTTTGTGTAAAGTATGTAGTGATCAATGCATCTGGTAAATGCTATGTTAAAAGGTTAGCCCATCTAGATCAAAGACTCCTCATCTTATGGAAACATAGAACGGGGTGGCCAACTCTTGACTAGATTGTACCACGATTAGTTGCTTATTTGACTTGGGTGTGTTAGTTCAGGGTTTCACATTCCTGACCCAGAATGTAGTTTATGGACCCAGAGAGCCAATGACCCAAACTGTGGATTTGCAGTATCTATTGAATAGCATTAGCTAGCATTGTTGAGGTCAGGCAGTGGGAGTGGTAGGTAGGACCCCTGTTAGTATGCTCCAGATATCAAGCCAAAACCAACTCTTAAGTTACTGCAAACCAGATGGTATAACAGCACAGTATCTTAAAAACATTACTGTCTAAAGGTATCACATTGCAATTGTTTGGAATTTAGCTTTTATCGCTCCACTGTGGAGTTAGTAAATCAACAATATGGTCATGGCAGCATACCCAGATAACTTAGGACATTGTTTTGGAACATTCTGAACCTCAGTCTGGGCCTAGGCCTGATACTGTAATTATGTGATAAATGTAATTATTGAATGTTATCTACTGTGTATTATTATAGCTGCCCTGCAGGAATTGAAGCCACTAATGACGACCCCAGCGATGGAGAAGGAGGCGAAGCCTGTAGAGAAAGGGGCTACTCTTACATCCCGTCTCTCCAGAGCACTCGATCTCCTCACTGGGGACATGCGTGTGTATGGAGAATGGATCAAAAGTAAGGCGTTCAATATATTAAAATATATTATAATAAAGTAAATAAATAAAAATCAGGGCCTTAAAGTCCCATGCATTGCTGGGTCATGTTAAGTAAGGCACACGGTAGAAAAACGTTTTGCAGTGGGAAACGTAAATCTGTGTTCTTATTGGACACGTTTAGGTAGTCCCTCCCTGTTTTACTCTGTTTCAAACATTTACTCCTCACTGAACATGACCCATGTTTTCATCCTTATCCTCTAATCAGAGACTGATTCAGAGAGTGGACCCAATGGTCAATCAATGACTGCCTGTCTGTCTCTCTGTTGCAGAGCAGGTTGTGGTGGTCCAGGTGGTGGACTGGGTCCTACGTGGGGTGGCCCAGGTCATGTTTGTCAACAACCCCCTCAGTGGGCTGCTCATCACGTTTGGCCTGGTGCTGCAGAACCCCTGGTGGGGCCTGAACGGACTGCTAGGATCCCTCGCTTCCACACTGTCTGCACTCCTGATTGGACAAAACAGGTAAGCCTATGGCAAGACCAGTAATCTACTTCCTATCATAAGTTGAATGCACCAATTTGTAAGTCGCTCTGGATAAGAGCGTCTGCTAAATGATGTAAATGTAAATTTATTAGGCCTAATATGGATATCCCTGGCAGAAGTCTCACACAGCCAGAGGGGTATGCTGCATAGCAGGATCAATGAGTTAGTCTTTTGCTTTTTTAGAAGGATAAGCTTGAAATGGGCATGGTCTAACTCAACAACCGAAAAAGATCTAAGTATAGCTTTCTTAATGAACCAGATGTTTATCAAAGTTAGTTGGCTAACTCATAGATCCTGGTTTGTAGTATACCCCTCAGGAGTTGTAATCTTGAATATGCTTTGCACACTAAGGTTGGTGTGGGGAAGTCTGCTTGTCTCAGTTTGAAACTCACACTAGCTGTATCAATATCTCGAAATACCTCCCACTCACTTGGTCTTTTTTGCACCCAACATTTCTCAATATCATTGTATTTCTTTGTAGCTGTATCTTTTCTGATTTGTTTGTGCTTTCTGTACTTCAGGGGGGCCATATCTGCTGGTTTATATGGCTACAATGGGACCCTGGTTGGAATGCTGATGTGTGTCTTCTCAGCCAAAGGGGACTGGTACTGGTGGCTTCTGCTCCCTAATATGTTCACGTCCATGTTATGGTATGTTACAGTAAGAATGTAAGGGAGAGTGGGGTAAGTTGAGCCATTTTTTTTACATTCAGCATCACTCCGTCAAGGGAAATATAGGATTCTATCAAAAATATCTACATATATTTCAGGATGTTGTGTATCCCTGGAAATAATCAGAATTCATGTAAACATTCCAGTTTTGAAAACGTAGCTTGTCCAAAAAAAAGTGGTCTCTTGGCACAACTTACCCCAGGTATGGGACAGGGTACTTTAAGTTAAGCCGCCTACACATTTCTGTACTGAATGAAATATTACCACTACTTTTTTTAAACCATGTCTATCTTTATTTACCAAACACAATTCATTTACATTTACATTTTAGTCATTTAGCAGACGCTCTTATTCAGAGCGACTTACAGTTAGTGAGTGCATACATTATTTTTTATTTTTTCATACTGGCCCCCCGTGGGAAACAAACCCACAACCCTGCTCTACCAACATCCCTGCCGGCCATTCCCTCCCCTACCCTGGACGACGCTGGGCCAATTGTGCGCCGCCCCATGGGTCTCCCGGTCGCGGCCGGCTACGACAGAGCCTGGATTTGAACCAGGATCTCTAGTGGCACATTACATAATAAATACATAATAGTATAATCAGCATAGAAATTAAGTTTACCATTTAACAGATTGACCAATGGTGTTTATATAAATAGTGAAGAGAACAGGTCGCAAAATTGACCCCTGTGGTACACCTTCATGTAGTTCAAGAAATTCAGATTTAACCCCATCAATCATGATGGCCTGAGTTCTGTCACTAATATAATCATGAAACCATGGAACAGTCAATGCTCAGGCCTATCGTGGACAACTTATTCAATAAAATAGCATGATCAACAGTATCAAAAGCTTTAGACAGATCCACAAACAAAGCAGCACATTTAATTTGTGTCTAAAGCATTGACAAGATCATTAACAACTAAAGTGGTTGCTGTAATAGTGCTATGCCCAGGCCTAAACCCTGGTTGGTTTACATTCAGAATACATTTCTCAGATAAAAAAGAGCAAAGTTGTACATTTACCAAGGATTCAAGAATCCTAGCTAGACAAGGAAGCCTTGAAATGGGGTGATAATTATTAAGATCACTACTATCCCCACCCTTATGGAGTGGTAGCACAAGGATTTCCAAACTTTTTGAATATTTCCTGATAACTATGTTAAATAAAAAAGTTGGGTTATTGAGCCAACAATGATGGGCACTGCACAGTTACGTAGACCAGGATCAAATTGGTCGGCCCCTGTGAATTTCTTGTTGTCTATTACTAGCAAATCATCTATGACTTATTTTTCTGTAAATAGCCTAGAAGAAAAGCTTTGACTATCATTTCTCTGATCATTCAGCAAGTTTCAACCCAATATCATTGTGAATAGGCTTAGAAGTTATTTGGAATAAAATGGTGATTAAATGCATCAATGATGGCATTTTTTTCTGTAATGAGGCCAGTGTCTGAATTAATTTGTTGTGGCAGAGAAGAGGAAGTAGAACCCTTCAGGGATTTGACAGTTTTCCAGAATTTGCCAGGTTCTCATTACAATCCAAAAGAGCGGTTACATAATAATCAGATTTTGCCTTTCTGATTTGTCTTACATATCTGCAAAATGTCTCAAAGCTAAATCAGTTTCAGGGATAGCTGAAATACAATGAAGGTCACTAAAATAAAGATCATGAAAAAATAATAATTTTTAAAAGCCTGTTCACTGAAGTTTTTAAAGTTCCTCTTTGTGATGACTGGTTCTCTGTAGCTCAGCTGGTAGAGCACGGCGCTTGTAACGCCAGGGTAGTGGGTTCGATCCCCGGGACCACCCATACACAAAAATGTATGCACGCATGACTGTAAGTCGCTTTGGATAAAAGCGTCTGCTAAATGGCATATTATTATTATTATAATGACATGAGGATAATATTTTTGTATTCTCACATCTCTAACACAAACAACTGGACAATGGTCACTAATGTCTTGGGCAAATACACCAGTAGAAACATATTTCTCTGGTGTATTTGTTAAAATAAAGTCAATCAGAGTTGACTTCGAAGGTTCTTCGGGTTGGGGCGTGTAGGGTCAGTCACCAGCTGGGTTAGGTTTAGATCATTACATGGCTTTTAGATTGTCTGAAGCCTGCATTTCCCAATCATAATTTAGGTCACCCAGGATAACTTCTGATTTTAATAAAAGCAGACAAAAAAATGGGTTAACTCCTCGAGTGCACAAAGGTTAGCCGAGGGAGGACAGTAGACCCCTATAACCGTTATGGATACATTTTTCCCTACACAAAGCCTTAAAAATAGTAGCTAACATTTTTGGGCAAGGGAAATGGATTTCAGGGAAGAGACCGACATTGTTTTTAATATGAATGGCCACTCCACCACCTCTACCCTGTCTGTAAGCTCTGAACACATTATAACCCTCAATATTAATATCAGAGTCCAGAATGTCCCCAGAGATCCACGTTTCAGTCAATACCAGAATGTCTGGATTCGTCTGCATAGCCCAGATCATGATGTAATCCAGTTTAGGTAGTAAGCTGCTAATGTTCAAATGCATCTACCCAAGTCATTTACGATTTTTAAAGTCACATTGAGTCTCCAACTCAAAGAAGCTACGTTCAATAGTTGGTTGCAGGCCCTGTCTGATGGTTGATATAGTTGGTATGGCTATAAGATTGCATAGAACTGCACCATTTGGTCTATCCCTATTAGTAATAGAGGAAGGAGTAGAAATTGGAATTACTTTTCTAAGATTAGCACCATAGGGCCTAAGGCTGCATCCAATACCAGAGAAAACCAATGATGGAATGTTAAACTGACTTTACATGGGATTTGGTTGCTATAGTGCAACAGCCCAAGCCCTCTATGGGATTTGAAAACCGAGGGGGTATTCAAGTTTATGGAATTCATATTTGAACTAAAAGCACTGGGTGAGCAGACCACAGTGGACTTTCTCTTTTGAGATAACAATAGCAGATCTAAGAGTACGAATGGGTACAAGACTACAACTAACAACACCCCTGGCAGTATAGACAACAGTACGATGATAACACTTAGAAAGGATGGGAGGTATTACCTGAGCGGGGCTTGGTCTGTCCCTGAGTCAATATCTTAACGCGGCCTTGAAATGTGAAGAGAGGGTCCAGGCTCCTAGATGGTTTGGGTGGAGGCCATCATCTCTGTAGAGCATCTTTTGTTTCCAAAAGGTGTCAATTGTCAATAAGAGTTATGCCAACAGAGTGGCAGTAGTCTTTAAGCCAGATATGAAGTGCTAAGAGATAATCGGCTGCTTTTCAGAACCTTTCAGGGTGTTGATCAGCTCAATAAAATCCTTTCATTAGCTCTGATTTACCCTTTTTTATATAATTTGAACACAAAAAAATATATTTACATCTCACAAAAGTAGTGCACTGGGCCTTTACTAGTCTTGTAGGGGTCTCTGCAGGGCAGCCCTGGCCAGTCAGTCGGAGAGTGACGACACGGTGGCGAGGCAGTGGCACAACGACCAGGCTGAGGAGTAGAAAAGGAAAAGCTCTTAGTATGGTACCTATCCAGGATAACTTCAATGACTCAATTTGCTAACTCTGGATGTCGAGCTCATACATATATTCCTCAATAAGCTGACAGTTTCCACATTGGAAATTTGTCCGGTCAATATTATCCCGGAACAGTGCAAAATAGGTGCAGCTCCTACATTGGATGAAACGATCAACGATGTCTCTGAAGGTGGTAGCCGCCAATCTGGAAAAAGTAAGTTTCCCCGTATGGCGGAAAGTAGTAGATGCCATTTTGGAAAAAGTCAAAATCCACACAAATAAAATAGGTTGGCGAAGAATCAGCTAAAAGTCAATCAATCCACACAGTGTGATAGTTAGTTAGATTAAATCACACAATTTGTAGGATCACCACAGTTATAGGCAAGCCAGAACCCAACCACAGACTAGAAACCATCCAGCACTAGGACCCACAATAAACACAACCAAGGCACAAAACTGGCCAGCATTACAACAGCAAGGAGAGAGCGGTGACTTACTCAATGCTGGAGCCCATCAAAACAGCAATGCAACGGAGGCTGCTTTACTAGTGTGATAGCCAGGAGAGAAGCACCTTGGAGGGGATGTAGTTTCCGGTACAGGCCGGTGGAAGACTGGAGGGAGGCAAGCACTACACCGGGCCACGGGAGAGTCAAAGAGTAAATCCAAGTAGGCTAAACCAAGTGGAGTTCAAGTTTGGCAGTAGTTCAAAAACATCCAAGGCACAATGTAAAGTGGAAAGATGAAAACAGCAGTAGGCAGGTATCCGCTCAGATAATGCCCCAGAGCAGGCCCCAGTGCAGAGTAGGGTGCCCAGGTATATCCAAGTAGGCCTCAAAAGTTTCAGCAGACCTGTTTTGTATGTCTCCTTAAAAACGCTGTATACAATATTGCACTATTGTCCAATGTGTTCACAGCCAGCTGAAACTCAAATTGAATTCAACTGAAACACCCTAACTTCTAAATAATGACCCAACCCTCCATTTCATTGTATAATCATTTTCTTTTTTCCTCTACCTGATTACGATCATATTTCAAGCTTCTTGTTGTGTGTTCTTCACTTCCTGTTCCTGTGCAGTCCGATAGTCTCCAGTGCCCTGGGCTCAGTGTTCAGCAAATGGGACCTCCCTGTGTTCACTCTACCGTTCAACATCCTTATGTGTTTGCACATGGCTGCCATGGGGTCTAACCACCCCTACTTTCCAGAGGTAGGCCCAAAATACACACACAGAGGTACAGTGCCTTCGGAAAGTATTCAGACCCTTGGGGTGAATATTTTAGCAAGCCACTGTAATTGCTACCAAATGTGCTTCACCAAAGTACTGAGTAAAGGGTCTGAATACTTATGTAAATGTAATATTTTCAGTTAATTTTTTATAAATTAGCAAGAATTTATAAAAAAGAAAAAACTGTCTTTGCTTTGTCATTTGGGGTATTGTTTGTAGATTGAGGGGGGGAAAAACAATTTAATCAATTTTAGAATAAGGCTGTAACCTAACAATGTGGAAAAAGTCAAGGGGTCTGAATACTTTCTGAAGGCACTCACACACACTTAAATACCACGCACACATCTCCCAATATCCTAATACCCCCAGTTTCTACTTTCCCCAGGTGCTAATCCAGCCAAAGTCCTCCCTACATCTGAACTCCACCTTGGCAGAACCAAGCATACCTCAGGTAGGACAGTACCCTGTATGGTGTCCATATTAGGACAGCCTCCAAGTCACAACACTGTAACCTTGTGTGTTTCTAAACAACCTCTCCAACATATTCTAGATGATTCTGTCACTTCAACGACTAACAAACAAAAATAGGTCAAACACATAATCCTCACGGATATAGTCCAAAGAAACAATTTCACTGAACTTTCCAAGAGCAGGAAATTAGATTTCTAACAAGAGTGTATTGAGTGGATGTAGGAATATGGTAGCTTAGCCTGTGGTGATAGCTTAGCCTGGTAGCCAGACCTGCTTCTGTTTTAGCCAACAATGTGGCCCTGTTTGGCAAGACAACAAAGTCACCACAGATTAATTGGCTGGAGTTTAAAGTAGATCTGGCAACCGGGCTAGGGAAGACCATGAGGTAGAAGTGACTAGTAACCACAGATCTAGGATCAGATTACCTTACTCCCAATCCTAACCCAAAGTGAGGAAGGGAAATAGATCTTACCCAGGATCAGTGGTTAGTGATAGCCTGCTTGTTGGTTACTTCCTGGTGCAGCTCTTGGTGGCGGTGCCAGTTGGCGTGGGTCAGGTGTACGGCTGTGACTGCCCCTGGATCGGAGGAATCTTCATCGTAGCCCTGCTGCTCTCCTCCCCAACCATCTGCATGCATGCTGTACTGGGCTCTATTATTGGCGTAGTGTCCGGTAAGAGACTTCCTCTCAGAGAATTGTGTACACCTGACCTCTAACCCCATAACATACTGTGGAAGTACTGATTGGGATACAAAACACATTTGGTTTTAATGGCTATACTGATTAACAATACCAATGGACATGCTCTTTAGAGATATAACCTATAATGGTATAATAAGTTGCATCACAGAACACAATAGGAGCTGTACTTTTTTTTTATCCACTGTGGGATCAAAATGTTGTCTTACGCGTGCGTCTCAATAAATAACTGGGGAGCATAACAGTTGCAAACATTACTTTTTCATGTACACCGAATTAGAAACATCGGAAGTATGCGATTGTTCTAGTGTTCATTAGTCAATTTTGAAGTTAAATTCAACATTTCCCAAACTGATTTGTTGTGCAACATCATGAAGCAAAATAATGCAGATGTCAGAAATATATTTGCAATTATTTCATCACAGGCTATATTTGGGGCCAGGAGTTTAACTAGGTACTAGGGCCAAGAGCTTTTCCTGGTCAAATCACATGGCCAGGGAAATCTGGACTTAGCTGGATTGTATGTCCTGTTCGATTATAGGTCTTGCTCTGGCTGCTCCTCTTGAGGACATCTACTCAGGACTGTGGGGCTACAACAGTTGTCTATCCTGCATCGCTATTGGAGGGGTGTTCTATGCACTGACATGGCAGAGTCATCTACTGGCTATTACCTGTGGTATGTTCATAAACAACACCTTCACCTTACTCAATACTGTCAGACAAGCAGTCTACTTCATTACCGCCCATTCTATGAAGCCAATTGTTGTTTTTCTACTTTCAGCCTTTTTCTGTACATACATAAGTTCGGCCATCTCAAATCTGATGCCCATAGTAAGTACTTACGTTTTTTATTTTATTCTTTGTCAACATGTAATGTACTGCTGCCACTAATTTGAATGCTGTGTACTTGTCTAATAAGTCAAACAAAAATGCATTTCAGCCTATAAAAAGTGAATATTATTGATTAGTTAGTCTTCCGGTAACTTATTTTATGTTGAGAGCTTTTGGTTACATAATGCAGTACAAGCAGCCGACCCCATACCATAATTAGCTGCAGTTGGTACTTCTGAATTAATGTATGAAACGTTCTTACCTAACCAGGGCAATTGTCTGAAGTGTCAGTGAGTCTGTTACATCACCCAGTAGACAATCAACAATACCTAGGGCCGTACGTATCAAGCATCTCAGAGTAGGAGTGCCAGGTAGATGACAGGTCCCGTCTGTCCATGTAATCTTATTCATTGGGATGTAAAATACAGAAATAATCCAAATAAGAATTATTATTCTGAGATGCTTGATGCATATGGCCCCTGATCTGGAATCTCTTAACTCTCCATCCACCATATCACCTGTTGTTTTCAGTTTGGGCTACCAGCATGCACCTGGCCTTTCTGCCTGTCCGCCCTCACCTTCCTCCTCATCACCACGGAAACCAGAGCCATCCACAGACTGCCTCTGTCGGCCGTGACGTACCCGGAGGAGAACAGGCGCTACTACAGAGAGAGGAGAGGCTCTATGAAAGTTGAAGATCACCAGGAGGATCAGCAGAACATCAGTAAAGAGGAGAAACTGCTGGAGGAGAGAGAAGAGATAAGGCCTCAGATCAGCCTGTCAGTAGAGTAGGGTGTATTCTGAGGATACGGAGTGAATAGCCTATCTCTCCGTGAATGCTAGTAGCCCATGGAAAAATTATAGGAAAATGTTAGCAAATGATAGTAAAGTCAACTCTGGAGTTTGAGACATTGAAAACATATTGGCTGGGATATCAATAGCTATTGTCTTACAGTCAAAGAAACCTCTGACTTCATTAATTTCAGCTTCCTCTAATGTTTTGAAAAGCACTGTTTTTCTATCCTGGAATCCACACTAAAAATGATTCCGGGCTAGAGTTTCACTATATTCCACAAATACTTTCGCAATGAGCCTAATAGCCTCTGGACTACAACAACTTTAGCATCCTTACATTGGACTCAATATTTTATTGTAGAATTTATAGTTTTGAATTGCTAGTACACCTTTTTAAATATGGGCTTTGGATTCAGCCTGCACCACTAATTTGTCATAACTTTATTGCTCAGTAGAGGGCAGCACTCACCAAGGGAAGCTGATGCTACTGCTGTGTCTGAAGGACACATTTTTGGAATCTCAAAATAAGTGCTGTTTATATTGAACAAATTCTGTTACAAGACTGTTTTCTTATTCTATTTATTAGATTAGTAGAGAGGTGAGGGGGGATACACGTGAACAGAAATACAACATTCCTTCTCTCTGGATGTGGAGAGGAATTTACAGTGCAGTAGATCGTCACAGCAGTTCAGCCAGTGAGGAGTTAAAGGGCGCTCTCATATAGTGCTCTACCAGCAAAACCAGGCTATTTTCAGACAGGTACTGTACATCACTGGCCTCGCCTCCTCTGCACTTGGAGGTAGACACATATTATTGGAGAGGACAGTGATGGATGTGAAGAAGACACATTTGTGAGAGATATTCTCTGAAACATGTCCACGATCCTCTCTCTTTGTTTCACCAGTCCCCTCCCAACATCAGGTGGGATGTGACTGCATAAACTATAGTGTGTGTGTGTGTGTATGTCTGTACATATTTTGTCTGTGTTAAACCGTGACACATGTTCACACGGTCCAGCTGCAGTGACAGTCACACTCCCAGACGTGTGTGAGAGTCGAAGCAGACAGGAGAGAGGGAGGGGAATAGAGCAGAAAGAAGAAGATGAGGGGTTGGGCGAGGAGATTTAGAAAAAGGATTACTAGACTAAAAATGAACTGAATCACGTTCTTGCTAGTCCTCTTCCTCACATCCTCCACACTCATAAAGACAGCCCTGGGAACTGGTCGTCACGAGTTACCACAGCCACAAAGTCATAATTATGGCTAAACCCGCCTATTTCTACAATGTATCTTCTTAAAATCTGATTTTAAAACTAACCTTACCCACACTGCTAACCTTATGCCTAACCTTAAATTAAGACCCAAAAGCTAGGCTAATTTTTGTTTGACTTTTTATTATATAGCCAATTGACTTTGAGGCTGTGGTAACTAGTGACAACCCTGGGGACTATTCCAAACACACCATCTCTCTAGCGATGGGTAGTTCTGATCGGATTCCTCAGGGACCACAGTGTCTGCTGCTTTAACTTCTCACACGTGTGCCAACCTCAGCGACTGATTTAGACTCGGAAAACCAGACAAACTCTCTACACTCAATCAAAAATCAAATGTATTTTATAAAACCCTTTTTTATATCAGCAGATGTCACAAAGTGCTTTACAGATCTCCACCCTAAAACCACAAAGAGCAAGCAATGCATAAGCACAGTGGCTAGGAAAAACATTAACTGATGAACAGGGAAGAGAGAAAACATAGAAGATACTTCAGGATGTGCAACCAGAGGGAAAAAAACTCGAGACCACCTTTACTTCACACACAGAGACTCGTACAAAGCTCTCCCTCGCCCCCCATTTGGCAAATCTGACCATAACTCTATCCTCCTGATTCCTGCTTATAAGCAAAAACTAAAGCAGGAAGCACCAGTGACTCAGTTAATAAGGAAGGGGTCAGATGATGCAGATGCTAAGCTACAGGACTGTTTTGCTAGCACAGACTGGAATATGTTCCGGGATTCTTCCGATAGCATTGAGGAGTACACCACATCAGTCACTGGCTTCATCAATAAGTGCATCGATGACGTCATCCCCACAGTGACCGTACGTACATACCCCAACCAGAAGCCATGGATTACAGGCAACATCCGCACTGAGCTAAAGGGTATAGCTGCCGCATTCAAGGAGCGGTACTCTAACCCGGACGCTTATAAGAAATCCTGCTATGCCCTCCGACGAACCATCAAACAGGCAAAGAGTCAATACAGGACTAAGATTGAATCGTACTACATCGGCTCCGACACTCGTCGGATGTGGCAGGGCTTGCAAACTATTACAGACTACAAAGGGAAGCAAAGCCACGAGTTTCCCAGTGACACAAGCCTACCAGATGAGCTAAACTACTTCTATGCTCGCTTCGAGGCAAGCAACAATGAAGCATGCATGAGAGCATCAGCTGTTCCAGATGACTATGTGATCACACTCTCCGTAGCTGATGTGAGTAAGACTTTTAAGCAGGTCAACATTCACAAGGCCGCAGGGCCAGACGGATTACCAGGACGTGTACTCCGAGCATGCGCTGACCAACTGGCAAGTGTCTTCACTGACATTTTCAACATGTCCCTGACTGAGTCTGTAATACCAACATGTTTCAAGCAGGCTACCATAGTCCCTGTGCCCAAGAACACTAAGATAACCTGCCTAAATGACTACCGACCCGTAGCACTCACGTCTGTAGCCATGAAGTGCTTTGAAAGGCTGGTCATGGCTCACAACACAATTATCCCAGAAACCCTAGACCCACTCCAATTCGCATACCGCTGCAACAGATCCACAGATGATGCAATCTCTATTGAACTCCACACTGCCCTTTCCCACCTGGACAAGAGGAACACCTACGTGAGAATGCTATTCATTGACTACAGCTCAGTGTTCAACACCATAGTGCCCTCAAATCTCATCACTAAGCTAAGGACCCTGGGACTAAACACCTCCCTCTGCAACTGGATCCTGGACTTCCTGACAGGCCACCCCCAGGTGGTAAGGGTAGGTAACAACACGCTGATCCTCAACACGGGGGCCCCTCAGAGGTGCGTGCTCAGTCCCCTCCTGTACTCCCTGTTCACCCATGACAGCATGGCCAGGCTCGACTCCAACACCATCATTAAGTTTGCTGACGACACAACAGTGGTAGGCCTAATCACCGACAATGAGGAGACAGCCTATAGGGAGGAGGTCAGAGACCTGGCCGTGTGGTGCCAGGATAACAACCTCTCCCTCAACGTGATCAAGACAAAGGAGATGATTGTGGACTACAGGAAAAAAATAAGAGGACTGAGCACGGCCCCATTATCATCGACGGCCTGTAGTGGAACAGGTTGAGAGTTTCAAGTTCATTGGTGTCCACATCACCAACAAACTATCATGGTCCAAACACACCAAGACAGTTGTGAAGATGGCACGACAAAGCCTATTCCCCCTAAGGAGACTGAAAAGATTTGGCATGGGTCCTCGGATCCTCAAAAAGTTATACAGCTGCACCATCGAGAGCATCCTGACTGGTTGCATCACCGCCTGGTATGGCAACTGCTTGGCCTCCGACCGCAAGGCACTACAGAGGGTAGTGCGTACGGCCCAGTACATCACTGGGGCTAAGCTTCCTGCCATCCAGGACCTCTATACCAGGCGGTGTCAGAGGAAGGCCCTAAAAATTATCAGACTCCATTCACCCTAGTCATAGACTGTTCTCTCTGCTACCGCACGGCAGGCGGTACCGGAGCACCAAGTCTAGGTCCTAAAGGCTTCTTAACAGCTTCTACCCCCAAGCCATAAGACTCCTGAACAGCTAATCATGGCTACCTGGACTATTTGCATTTTTTACTTATTTTTTACTTAACACTTTTTTTTCTTTTCTTAAAACTGCATTGTTGGTTAAGGGCTTGTAAGTAAGCATTTCACTGTAAGGTCTACACCTGTTGTCTTTGGCGCATGTGGCAAATAACATTTGATTTGATTAGAGTTGTCAAACCCTGCTCTATTCCGATCAACACACTCCTGATATACACTAAATTACACTGGGCTCTGTAACCTTTCAGTAGCTGAATTGACTGTGACAGACAGTGTGTGAGTGGGATGAAGAGAGATGAGGTGGGTTGGTGTCACTTACTTTGGGAATGTACTGTCCTTTGTTAATGTGCTCTCAGCAATGTGACTCACCACCTCAAGGACTGCACTGACTAATTCCACATGAGCATGGGGGGAAGGTGGTGGACTGGGTTGAATCTGTGAAGGATAGCACTTACCACACACCATAATCTGTTCATCTATCATAGGTCAAACACTGATCAGAGGAAGAAAGATTAACTCCTGGGATTTTAACATTCATATTCATGCTTTCAGTTTTTCATTAGCCATGGCTCATGATATACAGTGCCTTCGGAAAGTATTCAGACCCCTTAACGTTTTCCACAGCCTTACTCTAAAATGGATTTAAAAAATAAAAGAATCACACAATACCCCATAATGACAAAGCAAAAACAAGTTTAGAATTTCTTGCAAATGTATTAAAAATAAAAAACATACCTTATTTACATACATATTCAGACCCTTTGCTATGAGACTCGAAATTGAGCTCAGGTGCATCCTGTTTCCATTGATCATCCTTGATGTTTCTTCAACTTGATTGGAGTCCACCTGTGGTAAATGCAATTGATTGGACATGATTTGGAAAGGCACACACCTGTCTATATAAGGTCCCACAGTTGACAGTGCATGTCAGATCAAAAACCAAGCCATGAAGTCGAAGGAATTGTCCGTAGAGCTCCAAGACAGGATGGTGTCGAGGCACAGATCTGGGGAAGGGTACCAAGAAATGTCTGCAGCATTGAAGATCCCCAAGAACACAGTGGCCTCCATTATTCTTAAATGGAAGAAGTTTGGAACCACCTAGACTCTTCCTAGAGCTGGCCGCCCGGCCAAACTGAGCAATCGGGGAAGAAGGGCCTTGGTCAGGGAGGGGACCAAGAACCTGATGGTCACTCTGACAGAGCTCCAGAGTTCCTCTGTGGAGATAGGAGAACCTTCCAGAAGGACAACCATCTCTGCAGCACTCCACCAATCAGGCCTTTACGGTGCAGGGATTAGGAGACTAGTCAGGATTGAGGCAAAGATGAATGGAGCAAAGTACAGAGAGATCCTTGATGAAAGCCTGCTCCAGAGCACTCAGGACCTCAGACTGGAGGCGAAGGTTCACCTTCCAACAGGACAACGACCCTAAGCACACAGCCAAGACAACGCAGGAGTGGCTTAGGGACAAGTCTCAGAATGTCCTTGAGTGGCCCAGCCAGAGCCCAGACTTGAACCTGATCGAACATCTCTGAAGAGACCTGAAAATAGCTGTGCAGCGACGCTCCCTATCCAACCTGACAGAGCTTGAGAGGATCTGCAGAGAAGAATGGGAGAAACTCCCCAAATACAGGTGTGCCAAGCTTGTAGCGTCATACCCAAAAAGACTCGATGCTGTAATCTCTGCCAAAGGTGCTTCAACAAAGTACTGAATATAGGGTCTGAATACTTATGTAAAAGTGATATTTCAGTTTTTTATTTTTAATAAAATGTGTACAAATTGTCATTATGGGGTATTGTGTGTAGATTGAAGAAACATTTTAAGGAATTTTAGAATAAGGCTGTAACATTACAAAATGTGGAAAAAGTCAAGGGGTCTGAATACTTTCCACAGGCACTGTATAAGTCAGACATTTTAGACAAATGTAATAGGAGTGATGCATATCATTTTGGGTACCACAGTAAAGAGTGCTGTAGTCCACAACAAGTCTGATGTAAACAACAGGCAAATAGCAGCAATCAGAGATTTCAGCACCATGGACAGTCGTCGTCTCAAGTGAAGCTGAAAAACATTTATGCGAGAGGAGGCCTACACAGGAAGCAAAAACCCTGAAGAGGCCCAACACAATGCTTGACTGTTTAGTCATATTGATTACAATTGCTAAACATTTAGAATTGTAAATATAAGAGAATACATCTGAAAATAGTGATTATTTGAAACTGTATACATGTGCCTTCCCACTACATGGCAAAAGTATGTGGACACCTGCTTGTCAAATATCTCATTCCATTCTCATGGGCATTAATTGGGAAATGGTCCCCCCCTTTGCTGCTATAACAGCCTCCACTGTTCTGGGAAGGCTTTCCACTAGATGTTGGAACATTGCTGCGGGGACTTGCTTCCATTCAGAAACAAGAGCATTAGTGAGGTTGGGCAATGATGTTGGGAGATTAGGCCTGGCTCACAGTCGGCGTTCTAATTCATCCCAAAGGTGTTCGATGGGGTTGAGGTCAGGGCTCTGTGCAGGCCAGTCAAGTTCTTCCACATTGATCTCGACAAACCATTTCTGTATGGACCTCGCTTTGTGCATGGGGGCATTGTCATGCTGAAACAGGAAAGGGCCTTCCCTAAACTGTTGCCACAAAGTTGGAAGCACAGAATCGTCTAGAATGTAATTGTATGTTGTAGCGTTAAGATTTTCCTTCACTGGAACTAAGGGGCCTAGCCCGAATCATGAAAAACAGCCCCAGACCATTAGTCCTCTTCCACCAAACTTTACAGTTGGCACTATGCATTTGAGCAGGTAGCGTTCTCCTGGCATCCGCCAAACTCAGATTCGTCAGTCGAACTGCCAGATAGTGAAGTGTGATTTATTACTCCAGAGAACGCATTTCCACTGCTCCAGAGTCCAATGGCGGCGAGCTTTACACCACTCCAGCCAACGCTGGGCATTGCACATGGTGATCTTAGGCTTGCGTGCAGCTGCTCGGCCATGGAAACCCATTTCATGAAGCTCCCGACGAACAGTTCTTGTGCTGACGTTGCTTTCAGAGGCAGTTTGGAAGTCAGTAGTGAGTTGCAACCGAGGATAGAATCTTTACGCGCTGCGCACTTCAGCACTCGGCGGTCCCGTTCTGTGAGCTTGTGTGGCCTACCACTTCACGGCTAAGCCGTTGTTGCTCCTAGATGTTTCCACTTCACAATAACAGCACTTACAGTTGACCGGGGCATCTCTAGCAGGGCAGAAATTTGATGAACTGACTTGTTGGAAAGGTAGCATCTTATGACGGTGCCACGTTGAAAGTCACTGAGTTCTTCAGTAAGGCCATTCTTCTGTCAATGTTTGTCTATGGAGATCGCATGGCTGTGTGCTCAATTTTATATACCTGCCAGCAATGGGTGTGACTGAAATAGCAGAGTCCACTAATTTGAATGGGTGTCCACATACTTTTGTCCATGTAGTGTATCAACCCTCAGGCAAATCACATAGACAAGAATAAAGGTATACAACAATTCTGTGTTGTACAGCAATGTGTTTCTGTGTGTGATAGCTTTTGTAGTTGGCTCCATAGTCCATAAATAGACCAGTGACAATACAGCCCTAGCATGTGACAATGACCATACTTAATTAGATTCAAATAAAGTACTGAAGTGTGACCGCATGCGAGTGTGCCCATTCTGCACGCTTGTCTTTGTGTATTATTGGTACACTTTGGCACGTGAGCCGTCCCCCCTGCCGCCCCCTCCAGCCATAGTCTCAGTGTGACACGACACATTAATAACTGTGATTTTCTATTCGAGGAGAGAAATAAAGACGAGAGAGATAGCGAGCTACGAGTACCACCAGTCCCAATGTTCCCGTGGGCGGATGGGAGAGTGAGAATACTGTGAATAGAACAGAATGTCCTGATTCATTACATTCTAGAACCATCCCTCTCTCTGCTGTAGAAGAGCTCCACTCCAGCCAGAGCCAGTGACGCTCCTGACTCCCCATGTTCAGACCAAATTTGTCTCCATTTCCTGTTGGAGTGAATGGGAGACTCCACTGGAAGATGGAGAATCCATCTCTCTCATTGGCTGTGGTGAGCATCATAGAAGAGGAAGCATGGCCATGTATGTCCGCTTTTTGTTCCATAACCATATACTGTTGTACACAACAACACAGGTCCTCACTTCAACTGTTGTGGATGTCCACGCTATACAATTCACACTGCTAGAGAAAACAACACAAAATAAGTATTGCAGGATACTCAAACGGTTCTTTTGAATCTATCACCAGTCCATTTCTATTCTATACTTTGTTCATATGAAGCACATCTAATCAAACCAGGTATCTAACAACCAGAGGAGCATCCTACATAACCTCAAATAAACACTTAGTTATTATGAAGTAGATTGAGAATGCATGATGTCACCATACTTTGAGCTTATCTCCTTATCTGTTCCCCTATTTAATATATTAATATAAGCCAGTTAGCAGACACTTTTATCTAAAGGGATTTACAGTCATGCTGCACACATTTTAAATAAGGGTGGTCCCGGGAATCGAACCCACTATGCTGGCGTTGCAAGCGCCATCCTCTACCAACTGAGCTTCAGAGTCTATATAGTAATATAAATGAATACTTGATTAGAAAACATTAACGATGAATTTCTCTGATCAGATAGCTCAAAGTGATTGTTATATCCAATGGTCCATGTCAGGGGGATACATAGCCTCTAGGGATGTCTATCTGTCAGTCTTCCGTCGGCAACCCTTGACAGCTCTGAGGATTCACCTCACTGGTCGTGACTGTTCCATGAGCTTCTGCTCAGAATTCCGGAAACGAGCCTCAAGAAGGAGAAGGAGGCTGTAACATCCGCATGATCATGCTGCGAACACCAATGGTCTCGATGAGAAATCGGTAGGCACGGTATTCCCTCTTGTGCGTAGGAAAATGGGCGGGTTTGGGGAAAGCTCAGTCACGCTGCGTGGGTGGTGAGCGTATAGTAAAGGGCTGCGGCGGCAGTATATAGCACAGTCTGCAGTCAGCCGCTCAGGCAACCAACAGCTCAAGCACAGCTAAAACAGCTAAGAAACGTTCAGCACCACAGAACAGCGGACAGCTCCTCAATAAGCGAACACCATGGTTCTGATCTGGACACAGTTTGGAGTGAAAACCAAAAATGTCAAGTGCAAGGTCCGCGTTATGAACAGGAATGACAGCTCGGGCTCTTCATCAGGGGTAAGTTATATTTTTACAATTATATTAATTTCAGTAATTTACTGATTTTAATTATTTCAAATGCAAGTAGCCCATACAGTATGTCTGTCATGCTCATTTTACGCATATAGTCATTCATTGTGCCTTATGGTTGTGTCATTAAAAAGTTGACAGTGAGTTCAAAGACTTTGCTAATTGCTGAGAATAATCTTTGAGATTAAGCATAGTGATTTATGTCAAATATTGAACGTTCCTTTCGAACTATAGCCTGTTCAACTTGTATGGGAGCAATGGGTTCTCCAGTAGCCTACTGTACATGTTTTATATACACTCCTAATCCCAATGCAGATAGTGTAGCCTAGTTGAGACAATCAGGGCGCAGCCAGCATCTATGGTAGGAGGTGCAGTCTGCTTCACCATGCTCATACACACGAGTTCCCCCTATATTCACAGATATCTGCATTGTAGTTGGTAAGTCTGAAATGGACAGAATTGCATTTGCCATGGGCTAATTTTCACATAACACCGTTTTCATGGGCTGAATGCCATATTAAATAATAAATTGATATTGTGGTCATTTGTATTCAAAAGACTGACACTTCCAAGTATGGATCTTCTGATATTGGTACAAACTAGCACAGTAGGCTTCCTGATAAATCATAGGTGACTCAGTGCTACTTGTCTTGATCATTCTCAATCAACTGTTGAATGTCACACCTGCTGGGTGTTGGGTGTCATAAAGATGCCAGATGCTTGGCAATGCATTATCATGGGCATGGCAATGAGAGTGCACTATAAGGAGAGTTTAGAGCCCACAGGCCAGGGAGTTAGTTCTCTTTCTACCACATCTTATCCAGCTCTGGTTTAATATCTTTTCATTGTGGTACAGTGAGAACCGGACTTTTAGACAAAGGACAAAGTGAATCCATTGGTGGGCGTCATTCAGGCATTTGTCCTTTTATAAGTGGGTTGACATCTGTAGGCTATAGAGATCTAACGTGTTCCTTCTCCCACCCTGTTTCTCCAGGAGAACCAAAAGGACCAAGAGGTGCCTGTTATATCTGTCAAGCCTATGGGGAAGGATTTCTACAAGGTCTTGGGCGTCGAGACCGACTCCAACGAAGATGAGATCAAGAAGGCGTACAGGAAGATGGCCCTAAAGTTTCACCCCGACAAGAACAGCGCCGCAGACGCCGCAGACAAGTTCAAGGAGATCGCAGAAGCTTATGAGATTCTGACCGACCCCAAGAAGAGAGTAATCTATGATCAGTTTGGAGAAGAAGGTGAGAGACTTTCCTTCATTCCCTTGTCATTTAACCAGTAGTAGCCTAGTAGGGCCCTTTGCCTTTGTCAGTTGAGTAGAAGTAGTTATTATAGCACAGGCAGGTGCATTGTTGAATGGTTGATGGTAAGCAGCAGTACCTTTGCCAAGTGCAGTTGCATCTAACAAAAAATCTGCAGCACCTGGTCCACCAGAGAGCCAGCCCAACACGTACGGTGTAGACAACCGCAGGCTGATAAATTATTCAGCCATCGACCAAGAAAAAGTTTTCCTCAAACTTCAAAAAGTGCCAAATGTACATTTTGTAAGCTCTCCAGAAGTGTTGAGCCAAATATACATGAGTAAGAACTTTGTCTCAGAGTGGAAGTAGAATAGAAGATTGGACAAGATGGAAGATCACACATCTTCTGCCTGGGTAAGCTGTACTAACTGTATTTTTTTCCTTTTGTGTCTCAGGTCTTAAAAACGGAGGCGGGGTGTCCATGGCAGGCAAGGAGAACAACACCCATCACTACAGTTACCATGGCGATGCCCACGCCACGTTCTCCTCCTTCTTCCAAGGCTCCGACCACTTCGACATCTTCTTCGGGCCGGACGGCGAGGAGGAGCTCTTCAACCCCTTCAGCCGCTTCTCCTTCAGCCACGTCGGCGGTTACCAAAGTAACTACGGACCCACTGGCGAGAAGCTTCGGCGCGGGCGTCGGCGTCTGCAGGGTGTGGCGGTGGTTCACGACCTCCTGGTAACCCTGGAAGAGGTGTTCCACGGCTGCACCAAGCACATGAAGATCACGCGGCGCCGCCTCAACCCGGACGGCCGCAGCCTGCGCACCGAGGACAAGGTCCTGAACGTAGTGGTAAAGAAGGGGTGGAAGGAGGGTACCAAGATCACCTTCCCCAGAGAGGGCGACGAGACGCCCAACAACATACCCGCCGACGTGGCCTTCGTCCTCAAGGACAAGAAACACCCCCACTACAAGAGGGATGGGTCACACATTGTGTATACAGCCAAGATCACCCTCAAAGAAGTAAGTTTGTGTTTGTGTGTCAACTCTACATTTATTTGGGTATATAACGCAGAATTACAGTACTGCCATACTTTTAGTATAGGCAGGATTACATAACGTTTCAAGGCACAGTTGAAGTATGCCACTTCCATACGTTGGACAATGGCTCAAATTGGTGGCTGTAGAATAGATAAAACACTGTTCTATTCAGAGTGCCTCTCAGCTAACCCACCACTGCTCCAGCCTTGTCCTTAGCTCAGCTCATAGACCCCCACGAACACACAGTACAGTGCACCCTGCAGAGAGCAGCAGCAGCTGTACCTAAATATAGCCTCTGTGTCGGCCGCCCCCTCATACTGCTTTCACTTCGCTCCCTCACTGACTCCCCTGCACTGTGCCAGCCTTTAGCTTCCTCTCGCCCTCTCTCTCTGGCTCGCAATCACTCACTCCCACGTCCTATGCTCCTCAAATTAGCATGAGAGCGTTCACAGACATGGCAGGCTCTTCAAAGAGCTCCTCTCCATCTTCCCATGGCCCCACTCAGTCACTCTGTTGAGTACCGACACCCACACACACAACCAGAATAGAGAGGAGATTACCGGTATGGCATTTGTAACACGTATCGTTGCATAACAGAGCAAAGCATTGTCTTTAGGGGGCAAATGCTCCACATTCAAGTCTGTGATAGAACACATTCACTTGGAAAATTGCCCTGGTTAGGTAAGAGTTTCATACATTCATTCAGAAGTACCAACTGCAGCTAATTATGGTATGGGGTCTGCTTCATGTACTGTATTATGTAACCAAAGGCTCTCAACATAAAAGAAGGAACCAGAAAACTAACCAATCCGATCTTCCTCTCTGTTTCCTTCCAGGCTCTATGTGGATGCACAGTCAACGTCCCCACCCTGGACAACAGGACGATGCCGCTGCCGTGCAGTGACGTCATCAAGCCCGGCGGCATCCGGCGGCTGAGGGGCGAGGGCCTGCCCCACGCCAAGACCCCCTCCACACGTGGCGACCTGGTGGTGGAGTTCCAGGTGACCTTCCCCGATAGGATCCCTCCCCAGTCCAAAGAGATCATCAAACACAGCCTCGCTGGGTGCTAATGTGCTAATGTCCTAGCATGTTATTGTGCTAAAAACCTACTGTTTGAGCCATTAGAATCACAGCCTTGCCAGGTGCTATGACAATCCAGCACAGCTTCTCCCTGTGCTCGGTTTAGAGACAATGGCAGAGGGCACCGGAGAGGGTCAGATGGAAGCTTTTTTGATTATAGGCATATTTAACAGATACAATGCCACAAGTAGAAAGGTTTACAGTTTAACTGGCAAATTGACTCCTGAGTGTCTGGGCACGTCTACTGACTTTCTCTTGAATTAAAAGGGAATAGGTACTGTTACTGTGTATACTGCTTGCCTATATCAGGAACTTGGTATGCCAATCGAGTCATTTGACTTATTACAGAAACCTGAGGTAGTTGATAGTCATGTGACAAAATGATTCTACCACTTGTAGGCTATGGTTGTATGTTTTTCATATGACTGCACCTTTACATTGATTTATTACAATAACAAATATGTACTTGTGTACAAGAGTGTACTTGTGTACAAAAATATGTATAACTTTGTCTCTAAAAGAGATTCCTCTGTCAGATGTTCAACTGAATCATTTGAAATGTTTGTGTATATATGTGCTTTAACTGATACCAGATGTTAATGTATTATTCTAAATTGACAAATGGACACAAAGAAAAGCATGTTAAATAAATGAAAATACCTGAATTTTAACTCATGGTGTTGGTGTTTGATTATCTTATAAAATGTGCAGCAGTGGTCATGAATGATAATTTGTGCAGAGAATGAGCAAGCATGTCCATATTGCTACAGGAAATATGAAAACCTTCCCAAATATTAGGTGGACATGGATAATTGGCCTACAAGATGTGGAACTATGAAGACAGCAAAATGTATAACACAGTAAATTAGATCAACCTCACAGGAATCCTGAATACAAACAATCTGATTATGGATACAGGAGTTGGAGAGGCCTCTTTGGCAAGGCAATGTCTCCTCCCACAAAAACATGGAAGACCAATGAGGCCTGAGAGCTATCTGACTACATCCAATCGCAGATCAGGCAGTTGACCCAAAAATAAAAGTATTTGTAAGTACTTGAGTAGTGAGTACTGTGGTAAACTGTTGCAGATCCTCAGTGGTTGCAGTAGGTTTTGCGCAGTACTGTGCTGCACCATATTACAGTACACCCTAGCTAAGCTAACTACTGCCACCCAGTGTTAAATGCTACTAAGAGAGATGCTAAAAGGATTAATCAGATACCACATTCTAGGGCCCCTAGGTGCATCCCAATACGCTAAAATAGCTTCCTTTCCCTGAACTCCTCTCTTTTCATCTGCTCTAAACAAAGGATAGGTTAATGTAATGTGTACTACTATGTATGGGGCATATTTATTTTCCTATCCAGCTCTTTCACATTAGCACAGATGAGGGAAAGGAGAGAGAGGAAGCAACTTCACACTATTGAGATGCAGCTCCTTTTGCAAGAATGTAATCCTTCCTTCCCTCTTTAAAGCTTTAACTCAGTTGTTTTATATTTGGAGTTGAAGATTTTGACAAACAGATGGCACTATGGACAGCAATACTTTCAAACAAGGCAGATGAAAGAAGTATTGAAAGGCAACACTTTACATGTTGCGTTTATATTTGACTCCGCTGTCAAGAAAGGGGCCACAAAAATGTTTTGCAGCGAGGTGGGGGCCCCCCCAACCAAATCTTGCTTAGGGCCCCCAAAAGGCTAGAGCCGGCCCTGCCACCATGTGCATTTGTTGTGTGCCAAATAGGAAGGTCCCCTATATTCAATAGGCTACATTAAAACTTAGAGGCCAGTTTATTGGGCACACCCATCTATACCGGGTCGGACCCCCCTTTGCCTCCAGAACAGCCTGAAGTCTTCAGGGCATGGAAACGTTGCTCAATTGGTATTAAGGGACCTAACGTGTGCCAGGAAAACCTTCCACACGCCATTACACCACCGCCACCAGCCTGTGCTGTTGACACCAGGCAGGATGGGGCCATGGACTCATGTTGCTTACGCCATATTCTGACTTGGCCACGAGCATGACGCAACAGGAAACGGGATTTGTCTGGCCAGGCGATGTTTTTCCACTCAAGTGTTGGTGATCGCGTGCCCACTGGAGCCGCTTCTTCATGTTTTTAGCTGATAGGAATGGAACCCGGTGTGGTCGTCTGCTGCAATAGCCCATCCCTGACCAGGACCGACGAGTTGTGCATTCCGAGATGCCGTTCTACACACCACTATTGTACTGCGCTGTTATTTGCCTGTTTGTGGCCCTCCTGTTAGCTTGCACGAATCTTGCCATTCTCCTTTGACCTCTCATCAACGAGTTGTTTTAGCACACAGGATTCGCGGACTAAATTGTTTTGTTTGTCGCACCATTCTTGGTAAAGATAGACACTGTCGTGCGTGAAAAGCCCAGCAGGGCGGCCATTTCTGCGATACTGGAACCGACGCGCCTGGCACTGACGATCATACCACGCTCAAAGTCGTTTATGTCACTAGTTTTGCCCATTCTAAATGTTCAATCGAACAGTAAGTGAATGCCTCGATGCCTGTCTACCTGCTTTATATAGCAGGCCACGTGACTCACTGTCTGTAGGAGCGAACCATTTTTTGTGAACAGGGTAGTGTACCTAATAAACTGGCCACTGCGTGTATAGCTACCATTCAAAGCCCATACACCTGAAGTTAATTAAAACCAAAGCCAATAGTTAACACGCATGGATTTTGGGGGAAAAACACCTGCCGGATCGACTTAGCCTTCCATAGAAAGTCTATCCATGCCAATGACCATAAAACCTGTAGTGGAGGCTGTTCAATGGCTGCCGGTGTGACCATGAAGTGGGGCTAAGATGGCAGACAGGAAAAATAAGAGAAAAGTGGAACATAAGTAAATATGGAATGGGGGAATGCACAAGCCTTATGGAAGATCTGATGAAAAAGATGGCGGACAGAAAAAAAAAAAAGGTGGAACATGTTTTGAGTGAATATGGAGTAGTGGATCACACATAATTTTTTTGAAGAGCTACAGAAGGAAATTGAACATGACGAGAGAGGATGAATTAACTGCGGTGGCAGGTGTGGTGAAGACTGCGGAGTTTGAGCCTCATCCTGATGACAAAGAATATTCTGGCCCAGTGGGAGTGTGACGCTTGGAGAGAATGGATCCTTGCCTTCTGGCAGAGTCAAATGTGGTGTCAGGTTGGGTGGAGAAGAGGTTGGGGAATGTTGGGTCAGTGAAAGTAACTCAAAGTGGAATTGTGTTGATTTTTTGCTTTTCTGCCATCCAGAGAGAGCGTGCGCTCCGCATCACCTGACAAGAACTGTGACTTGCTTTCCTCTCTGTAGCAGGGCACAGTTGAAAGTAGTGATAACTGGAGTGGTGTTAAGTGTTGAGGAGGGTCAACTGAAGTTGAAGATTCCCGGTGTCTGTGATGCCCGCCGTTTGGTGCGACACAGACCCGGTGGAGAGCGTGGTGAAACAGAGAAGACACCGTCTGTACTACTGAGTTTTGATACAGTTTTTACCAGATAATGTCAAGTTAGGATGTGTCAGGTATCCTCGTGAGAGCTTTTGTCCCGAACCCATTACAGTGTTTTAGCTATCAAGCTTATGGTCATGTGGCAGCAGAGTGTAGGAAGGAGATTCCTAGGCATGAAATGAGACAAAGGAATGTGTAGTATCGGTGAAAAAAGTTGTATGTAAACTGTACGGGTACCCATGGCGCTGGAGATCAGAGGTATCCGGTGAGAGAAAGGCAGGTTGAGGCAGTGAAGAGCATAGTAGAGGAAGATTGGTCCAGGGTGAGGGATCCTAAGAGGAGTAGGCCAAGGCCAATAGAGTGATAGGAATAACATGTGCTTCAGTAAGGTTGCAGGGTTAGTTGGTAGGTAATGTATTATTTGTATTTTTCACAAAGTGTAATAAATTCATACTACAGAATAGTAGGCTGATACCAGTGGAGGCTGCTGAGGGGAGAATGGCTCATAATAATGGCTGGAAAATGGCAAATGGAATGGCATTAAACACATGAAAACCATGTGTTTGATACCATTCCACTCATTCTGCTAGAGGCATTTGTTGTGTTCAGTAATATGGTGTCGTAGCTCAGTTGAGTATCGAATACTGTTGCTTTAAGAATGTATCAGGCACGTTGTGCGTAAACGGAGGAGTGAGGATTGGATGAGTGGTTAACATGTTCATCTGAAGTAAAGACGTTCAGTTTAATTGCACAACAAGCCTCCGTGCGTTTGTAACTGCATTACCACGAGCCCGTCTTCCCCAATTAAGGTGCCACCAACCTCCTGTGGATGACACACAGCCAATACAGAAGGTTGGTGCATGCACCTATAACATTTGTTTACGGACCGACATAATACCACAGAGGAAGACCATAAAACCTCGCGGTTGGGCCAATACGTTATCCTGTCATTCTAAATCCTTGGTTTATTCATTGTGCAATAATATTTATACACCTGTGCGTCACTGGCATCTTGGATATGAGCTTGCTATCAGGGTGACGTAATTGATTATATGTGACCTATTCTATAAGACTGACAAGCATCAAGCAAGCCGACATTAACTCGTCACCTGCGTTTGGGGTTATTATTTCATGCCTATAAATAAGCACATTTTCGAGTAGGCCTACGTTCGGTTGTCTGTGCGTAAAAGTGAATTTCGACTGTGCTTAAATTATTAATTTTGGGCGTAAAATATGCTCATTTAAATGCAGAATGTATTGTGGTGACCCAAAAAAATTGAATAGATATTGAAGCAGAAAATCTAAGATGCCATGGCCACATGGTTTGCCAAGTACAAAATCCAAGCACTCATTGTGCAGAGTTCAATCACAGGATAGTGAAATTGATTGGTGCCACAAAACACCTGCGCGCTCACAGAAAATAACCAATTAGGCTAAGCAATTTTGAACAAAATCACAATCTTATGTGTTCTGGAACTGGATCCTATAAACTATTTGTGATGAAATGTCGCTAATAGGACCATCAACACCACCCTCAAATCGGAGTGATGGTTTGCCAATTACCAGTTTAACGCTACTTATTATCCTACTCTTACCGTGCGTGGTTCTTCTGTTGCTGTTGAACTGTTTGTTTCTGTGTTACAAGTTACACATTTGTTCAAAGAACAGAAAAAGACGAGAGGACACCGACAGTATTTTACAGTCTACTCTGTCGACGCGCCAGAGAATGACCAGAATATCCGAGGCGCCATTGTTGCCAAATCAAGATGGGAAAAGGGCTTACATCTCGGTTTCAGAGACTATGCTGGCACAGCCCTCGAGTTCTTCAAGAACTTCGTCAAAGGAGAGGGCAGCAGTGGACCAGAGGATCCGATTCATCCGGCCGGACGGGGCCACAGGCGGTGTCTTGGAGTCCCTGAGGGCGCAGAGTACCATATTGGCCACAACGGCCGAGGCCACCTCCAGGGTCGACCAGCCCTTTAGGTCACGAATGTACAGCAGGAACAAAATGGAATGGCGCAAAAGCGCCCCTGTCCTACCGCAGTCAAGTGATTCAGAGGCAGAACGGCCTGACCTCGTACCACCCAACTCACCTGCGCTAAATAATCCACACTCAAGGGTTAGTTCGTGGTTTCTAACCTAAAATTAGTTTATATAACCCTTGAACTCTGTCTTGGATACATGTGATGAATGACTGTTTTACGCACGCAGGTAACACCTGACCAGAGGCCCATGCGTCGGTGCAGCACCATGGAGCTATTGAACAACATAGGCGAACACCAGTTTGATATGGTTGAATGTGAATATGCCAGTAACATACCTCCAGAGATCTCATGCTTTGTTGTATCTGACAACTCTTCCACCATGGGCCCTGGATTGGACAGCGACTTTGGAGCAAGCGCAGGTGAGTTGTCATTAGCCTACTAGAACAGTTTTACATTTAGTTACATGAAGTATGAATATTATATTTTCTCCACAATTAGAAAGCGATGCCCTCTCAGCCTACCTACAGTGGTGTGAAGTACTCAAGTAAAAATACTTAAAGTACTACTTAAGTAGTTTTTTGGGGTATCTGTACTTTATTTATATTTGACAACTTTTACTTCGCTACATTCCTGAATAAAATAATGTACTTTTTACTCCATACATTTTCCCTGACACCCAAAAGTAGGCTACTCCTTACATTTTGAACGCTTAGCACGACAGAGAAAGGGTACAATTCACGCACTTACTGTGTCAAGAGAACATCCCTGGTCATCCCTACTGCCTCTGATCTGACTGACTCGCTAAACACACGTTTCGTTTTTTAAATTATGTCTGAGTGTGCCGCTGGCTATCCCGAAAAAATAAAAATGCCATCTGGTTTGCTTAATATAAGGCATTTGCAATGCTTAAGTATATTTAAAACCAAATACTTTTAGACTTTTACTCAAGTAGTATTTTACTGGGTGACTTTTACTTGAGTCATTTTCTATTAAGGTGTCTTTTACTTTTACTCAAATATGACAATTGGATACTTTTTCCACCACTGCCAACCTAATTACGCAAGCGCTTCTCCAGGTGTCTCGCTCCGGATTTTATCCGCGGACAGCGACGGTCTCACCAACGGTGTGTGGGACTCCGGAATGGAGTGGGACTATTACGACCCGTGCTATGTGAGGGAGAAAAATATACCCAAACAGAAACATCACAAGCCTGCATTACATACCAAGCATTATTGGGTATGATGCCAGAGAACACGAAATGTTTTAAACTGATTTTAATATTTGTTATTAGGCTATACATTTTTTTTCTCCAAATATTTAATTCTAAAAAGCACACTAACACAGATTATCACTTTTTCAACTGAGCTAAATGTAACTTTTACCCCCACCAGTTTTCTAAAGAATTGCACTCACTTTTGTAAATCACACATTTATTCTCAAACTATGTTCATTCAATGTCCAAGACACTTATACTATTCACTTTCTTGTTTGTTACACTTGAATAAGCACATTTATTATATGCACTAAAATTGCTTGAACATTTGATTTCACCCAGTATTAAAGTTTTCAATAAAGATTGTATTGTATTGTTCATTCCCCTATCAAAGATCTATCCACAAATTTACAAATTGCAAACTGACACCCACTATTCACCAGTTAATTTATTGTTTTAATTTCGTACAATTCAATTTTCACATTTTTTCAACCCAATATATTCATAAATGACAAGTCATAAGCAATTCCCCTCCCTTTCCTCAATAACAGGCTAGTTTTATATCCTTCATTAGTTGCTCATATGAAGCCAGATGTACTCTACCCACCCCTACACACCCTTAAGTCCTTACAAGGTTTGAAAAAAAGTCCTGCAATGCCAGAATACAGACAAGCTGCAACATGCTCTCTAACTATTAAAGGGGGATGAGAAAGGTTTGTAAATAATGGCTTTTTTTTGTCTTAGGTAATGGAATTATTATTTGTGTATATTTTGCGGCATTGTACAGTTTTGCCAGAATGTATATGAGGAAACTTTGGTCCACTGTGGGTCATGGTGCGGTTTAACCATAGAGGTCGTCGTCGTTGTCCTCGTTGAAGACTGTGCCACCGCTGCCACCAGCAGAGCCCTGGCTGGGCCCGGCACCTGGCGCAGAGTTAGTGGGGAACCTGAGACGAGGACGGGAGAGGAATTGTTCAGCTCAGTACAGTACATATCAGGGCGAGACGGCTTGGTAGTGCCAGTACATTCCTTATGTAAAACACATGGCTTGTTAGCTGTACATAGAATAGATGTACTTTGTAAGAAGAAAAGTTGAATGAATGTTCCCCACTGGTGGTGTATATAGGCTATAAATTATCTAGGACACATGGGAGCGGAGTTAGGTAACAGTACTATTCAACACCATCATCCGCTATGTGTTATGTGCATTTTGCTTACCGGAAACTACCGAAGCCTCTGCTCTGCTGTAACGTCTGGGCGAACATCTCGTATTTGCGGATGTCGTTGTCGCTGACGGAGCGGCGGGCGAAACGCATGGCCTCCTCAAAGTGGTCCTTACGGATCTCTGGGACAGGGTCGTCCTCCTCCACCTCCTGTGGGGGGAAGGGGGGTTAAATAATTTATACAGTGTGGAAAAAAAGTATTTAGTCAGCCACCAATTGTGCAAGTTCTCCCACTTAAAAAGATGAGAGGCCTGTAATTTTCATCATAGGTACACGTCAACTATGACAGACAAATCACATTGTATGATTTTTTATGAATTTATTTGCAAATTATGGTGGAAAATAAGTATTTGGTCACCTACAAACAAGCAAGATTTCTGGCTCTCACAGACCTGTAACAACTTCTTTAAGAGGCTCCTCTGTCCTCCACTCGTTACCTGTATTAATGGCACCTGTTTGAACTTGTTATCAGTATAAAAGACACCTGTCCACAACCTCAAACAGTCACACTCCAAACTCCACTATGGCCAAGACCAAAGAGCTGTCAAAGGACACCAGAAACAAAATTGTAGACCTGCACCAGGCTGGGAAGACTGAATCTGCAATAGGTAAGCAGCTTGGTTTGAAGAAATCAACTGTGGGAGCAATTATTAGGAAATGGAAGACATACAAGACCACTGATAATCTCCCTCGATCTGGGGCTCCACGCAAGATCTCACCCCGTGGGGTCAAAATGATCACAAGAACGGTGAGCAAAAATCCCAGAACCACACGGGGGGACCTAGTGAATGACCTGCAGAGAGCTTGGACCAAAGTAACAAAGCCTACCATCAGTAACACACTACGCCGCCAGGGACTCAAATCCTGCAGTGCCAGACGTGTCTCCCTGCTTAAGCCAGTACATGTCCAGGCCCGTCTGAAGTTTGCTAGAGTGCATTTGGATGATCCAGAAGAGGATTGGGAGAATGTCATATGGTCAGATGAAACCAAAATAGAACTTTTTGGTAAAAACTCAACTCGTCGTGTTTGGAGGACAAAGAATGCTGAGTTGCATCCAAAGAACACCATACCTACTGTGAAGCATGGGGGTGGAAACATGCTTTGGGGCTGTTTTTCTGCAAAGGGACCAGGACGACTGATCCGTGTAAAGGAAAGAATGAATGGGGCCATGTATCGTGAGATTTTGAGTGAAAACTTCCATCAGCAAGGGCATTGAAGATGAAACGTGGCTGGGTCTTTCAGCATGACAATGATCCCAAACACACCGCCCGGGCAACGAAGGAGTGGCTTCGTAAGAAGCATTAAGGTCCTGGAGTGGCCTAGCCAGTCTCCAGATCTCAACCCCATAGAAAATCTTTGGAGGGAGTTGAAAGTCCGTGTTGCCCAGCGACAGCCCCAAAACATCACTGCTCTAGAGGAGATCTGCATGGAGGAATGGGCCAAAATACCAGCAACAGTGTGTGAAAACCTTGTGAAGACTTACAGAAAACGTTTGACCTGTGTCATTGCCAACAAAGGGTATATAACAAAGTATTGAGAAACCTTTGTTATTGACCAAATACTTATTTTCCACCATAATTTGCAAATAAATTCATAAAAAATCCTACAATGTGATTTTCTGGAAAATGTGTTCTCATTTTGTCTGTCATAGTTGACGTGTACCTATGATGAAAATTACAGGCCTCTCATCTTTTTAAGTGGGAGAACTTGCACAATTGGTGGCTGACTAAATACTTTTTTCCCCCACTGTATCTACAAAATACAATCACGCCTTCTCTTCCTCCGTATGTGTGTGAATCGGTTTAAGGTTAAATGCATTATCCCTACTCCCTTGCAAAATAAAAAATACTTCCTGTGTATAAATAATTAATAGAAATCAAAGAAGTGCCCCAGTTGATTTACTCAGTCATTTAATAATGAATACAGATGGCCCAAAAATGTTGTTTTGTTTCTTCCTGAAATTAAATCTGCTGGTGATTTGCCCAGATCCTACATTATCCAGGCTTCACGATGCACCAAAGTTAGCTATAGTTTAGACTGCGTCATTGAACAAATAAAGATTAGTGACTAAACTCACCATTGCTGAGGGGTTGGTCTGTCTCTCCCGCTCCCTCCTGATCTCGTTCTCGATGGACTCCCTGATGGCCATCTTACAGGCCCTCTGGCAGATCTCTGTCAGGTCAGCTCCAGAGAAACCATTGGTCATCTTGGCCAAGAAATCCAGGTCCACATCCTATAATTAGACAGGGGTGGAGGGAGTGTTAAAACCACTTCCAGACAAAGATCAAACAGTAAATGGGATTATAAAACACATTTTATATTTCTCACACAAACAGCAATTTCCATATCATCAACATCTTTTCCCACAAACCCATTACATGTAGCCCAGCCTGGAATGAAGACATTTGATGAGCCCCAACCGCTCACATCAGAACATGCTGACCGAGGTGGGAAAAACAGTTTAGTCAGCACAATGTCAGTGCATGGCCAGATACACATATAAATAGATAGAGGCTTGCCTTGGCGATGGGTGACTTCCTGAGGTTGGCTCCGAGGATGTTTATGCGGGACTTCTCGTCTGGCAGGGGGATATAGATGAGCTGGTCCAGTCTGCCGGGCCTCAGGATTGCCGGGTCGATGATATCAGGCCTGGTACAGCACACAGTTTAGTCATTTAGCTTAACCTACATTTCTATATCTCATTATACAGTACCTTATTGTCCACCTAAGAACAAAGTGCATTCAACTAAGGTCAGGAAGACTACCACATATTTGCATAGAGCAGCAACCCCAGTGCTAAAAATGTTTTAACTCAATTAGTAAGAATAACGGTGAAGCAGAGTAAGGGGTAAAGATGGCCAACCTGTTGGTGGCACCGATGATGAAGACGTTCTTCTTGCTGGACATGCCATCCATCTCCGTCAAGATCTGGTTGATGACGCGGTCGGCTGCTCCGCCACCATCACCCGCGTTGCCGCCACGCGCCTTGGCGATGGAGTCCAGCTCGTCAAAGAAGAGCACGCAGGGGGCGGCCTGGCGAGCCTGGAAGACAGAGGGTTTAGGAGGGTACAATATTGGGGCACAACAGAAAACATTTTGCAATGGAAAAGGAGAATAAGCGTTTCACATTTACTAACCATCTATTGTACATGTGTAACTCACAAATTAGATGCCATACAATCGATAAAAACAACATACAGAACATAATACAGGTAAATATGAGGTTAGAGGGATCTTGATAAATCTGTTTAGCCTTACCTTGTCGAAGATCTCTCGGACATTGGCCTCGGACTCTCCGAACCACATGGTGAGCAACTCAGGCCCTTTGATGGAGATGAAGTTGGCCTGGCACTCGTTGGCAATGGCCTTGGCCAGCAGGGTCTTACCGCAACCTGGGGGCCCGTAGAACAGCACTCCCTTGGATGGGGTCATGCCGAACTTCAAGAACTTGTCTGGGTGCTCCACTGGGTACTGAAGAGAAGAAGAAAAGCAGGCCATGAAGGTTAATCAAACCGTTAATTAACCTTTTCCTACGTGAGTTCCAAATATCGCTAACGGTCGCCCCAGCGTGAGTTGTTTTATGCATGTGATGTCAGAATGAACTCACTGTTCCAAAATGTGATTGATACGCAACATGACAGTTAACACGTGCTGCCTGCTAATTATCTATAAGCTATGTTTCAACTTGTCAATTTCAAATGATTTTCTAACAGTTTGAATTGAGGTGTGTTCCGCCTCCTCATTAATTCACATAGAAGTAGCCCATTTCAGTGTTGCGGACAATTTGTGTTTGAGGCTTTACTGAGCCAGACAAACTTCTCTAATCGAGGAGAGCCCAAGCACTTCACCAATGTTTCCACAGATGAAGTATGCAGACATTTGCGCAGTCTTGCATGAACTGGAACATTTCCTGTCTGGCGCTCACATTGCCTTCCTTGTTGTTTTCCTTACAAATAATAACTTTGGACATGTGTGCGTTCCTATCAAAGGAAGTGCCTTATTTTCTGTTTTTCGTGTTGTCGTTTCTACTGTAGCATACAGTGTATGTATATGTATGGAGCATAATGTATTTACAGTTAACATTTTCAAGTACTAGTGACAAATTATGCATTCTGATTATTGCATAGATTGTAATGGACACCTATGATGTGTGTAAAATACTTTTTTTGAGGGGTCTGCTGATTATATCGAGCTAATGCTAAGCTATTTGCCAGATTTGTGTGGCGCCATGTTTGTTGACATTATACAATGCATTCTGAGTGTCACGTAAACGTCTGTCAGACCAAAGATGTTATAATGAGGTGAAGGGTAAACTTCCAGAAGTGAATGAAGGGCAGTGAATGATCGTAGACGACACACACCCTTCAACATGCATACTGCAAACAGACCAAACTCATCTTATCTCCTCTTATTATCTTTGGTTGACGAAGAAGAAAAAAAAAACATGGCGCCGTGCACAAACTACCCATCGTCAGATTACTTTAGATTTCTAGAAAGTATTTTACTCAATTATTTAGATCAATGGTGAGCTCACCCGTGATGTGATGAATTAAATAGTAATTGCTATTAGCTAATTCATATTGTGGTTTCTGACAGCCGAGAGTTATCTAAATATGACCGCTTGTGTTACGACAATCTTTCCTCAGTTAGCGCTAGGACTAATGTAGCCTACATTTCCCGGTTTGGGTGATTATGTATGCTGTCGCTACTTCTGGGAATGTCTGAACATTGCATCCAAAAATAAAAACTGGTCACATTCAGGACATAACTTTGTAAGGACTGTGTTTGTGCAAAATGTTTGTGAAAAAACAGTGTGGCTAGCTCAAATGCTGACTGTTGCGTCAATCGAAACTGGACGTTCTAAATAAGCGTTCTAATCACACTGGTTTGAACGTATTCTGCAGGGACCACTGTAGAATGATCACACCCGTTTGTTAGTACGTGTGAAAAGGTTAACTATGACAGGGATTCATCATTCAGACTCCTCACTCTCCCCATTAATGATACAAAATCAACAAATGACATTAGCTTTCATAGCATATAAATCTGCATCTTATCAGTAATGTACCTATAACTAGAACATGGTCTACCTGTACAAGCTCCTGGAGTTCCCTCTTGACGTCCTCCAGACCACCGATGTCCTCCCAGCTGATGTTGGGCACCTCCACCACAGTCTCTCTCAGGGCAGACGGGTTGCTCTGGCTCAGAGCCCACTGAAACACAACCCACAAAGAACTGGTTAGTCCTGCTGGCTTAGCGATTCTCTGCTACGACTGGTTCTAATGCTCAATAGTTACGTCTGTCCTCAGACCATTAGCGAAAATACATACTGGATGCTGCAGATTTACATAGTGATGAAAAACAGAAAGGTGAATAAAGTTCTCAGTGCAGTAGAAGCTACTTTGAGTGCTGTGTGTGTTGGAGAAAATAATCCAGTTCATTACTCTGAAGTCGTCCATGGTGACGGCAAGGGAGTTCATGACCTCTGCGTCGATGGTCTCGTCCTCCAGGTCGATGAGATCCATCTTCTTCCTGATGGCCTGCAGGGCGGCTTCAGAGCAGAGAGCAGCCAGGTCAGCACCCACGTGGCCGTGAGTCTGATTGGCAACCTGGGGGACACAGACAGACATGGTCACACACACAGCATCAATATGGCAGGGAGATCACTTGAAAACCCACTCACAATCACTTTTCATTCTACCTCACACACACGCAAAATGGCGGAGTTACATTGACAACCTCACTCTGTAAATTACAGTAGTGCTATACACACACACCTGCTCGAGGTCGACGTCGTCGGACAGTTTCATGTTCTTGGTGTGGATCTGGAGGATCTCCAGTCTGCCGGTTGCGTCAGGAATGCCAATGTCCACCTCCCTGTCAAAACGCCCTGAGGAGAAACATCACACATTTAAGGTCAGTCTCACTAACCAGTATATAAATATATTAAATTCCATTTAATTTCTATGTTACCACCAACCCTGCTGATTCACAGGCAGTAATGACAATGAATCAAAACAGGAGGAAGATATTCATCAAATATATCAAATACAAGAGGCCTCTGGCAAAACTAAGAACTTGATTTAAGAACTGAAACTGTTACATTCTAGGTCTACAAGTGCACTGAGGCATCGTACCAAATCGCCTGAGGGCGGCGTCAATGCTGTTGGGTCTGTTGGTGGCTGCCATGACGATGACGTGAGCGCGCTGCTTAAGGCCGTCCATGAGTGTGAGGAGCTGGGACACGATGCGCCTCTCCACCTCACCGTGTGTCTGCACAGGACAAAATAAAGGGTTAATTACATTCTCTGTTGACCCTAAGGAGGTCATGTTTATGGTAGGGGGTATAGTGAATTTACTGTAGTGTCATTCAACCCTGGTCCTAAAGACCCAAGTTACATGTTGTATTAGTCGTATGTACAGGACACACGGTATATACCGTCCAACGAAATGCTAACTTGCAGCTTGGGCTGGGAATTGCCAGGGACCTTATGATACGATATCACTAAGTATACGACATGTACTGTGATTATCACGATTCTATATGTATTGCGATTCGATGTTACAAACAATCAGTGCATTCAAAGTACTCAGACCCCTTTTTGTTACGTTACAGCCTTATTTTAAAATAGATTAAACTATTTTTTCATCCTCAATCTACACACAATACCCCATAATGACAAAGCAAAAACAGGTTTTTAATTTTTGTTTTTTTTGTAAAAAATAAAGTAAAAACTGATAATACATTTACATAAGTATTCAGACCATTTACTCAGTCATTTGTTGAAACACCTTTGGCAGCGATTACAGCCTCAAGTCTTCTTGGGTATGACGCTACAAGCTTGGCACACCTGTATTTGGGGTGATTCTTCCATTCTTCTCTGCAGATCCTCTCAATCCCTGTCAGGTTCGATGGGGAGCATCGCTGCACAGCTATTTTCAGGTCTCTCCAGAGATGTTCGATCGGGTTCAAGTCCGGGATCTGTGGCTGGGCCACTCAAGGACATTCAGAGACTTGTCCCAAACCCACTCCTGCGTTGTCTTGGCTGTGTGCTTAGGGTCGTTGTCCTGTTGGAAGGTGAACCTTCGCCCCAGTCTGAGCGCTCTGGAGCAGGTTTTCATCAAGGATCTCTGTACTTTATTCCGTTCATCTTTCCCTCAATCCTGACTAGTCTCCCAGTCCCTGCCGCTGAAAAACATCCTCACAACATGCTGCCACCACCATGCTTTACCGTAGGGATGGTGCCAGGTTTCCTCAGATGTGACGCTTGGCATTCAGGCCAAAGAGTTCATTCTTGGTTTCATCAGACCAGAGAATCTTGTTTCTCATGGTCTGAGAGTCCTTTAGGTGCCTTTTGGCAAACTCCAAGCGGGCTGTCATGTGCCTTTTACTGAGGAGTGGCTTCCGTCTGACCATTCTACCATAAAAGGTCTGTTTGGTGGAGTGCTGCAGAGATGGTTGTCCTTCTGGAAGATTCTCCCATCCCCACAGAGGAACTCTGGAGCTCTGTCAGTGACCATCGGGTTCTTGGTCACCTCCCTGACCAAGGCCCTTCTCTCCCGATTGCTCAGTTTGGCCGGGCGGCCAGCTCTAGGAAGAGTCTTGGTGGTTCCAAACTTCTTCCATTTAATAATGATGGTGGCCACTGTGTTCTTGGGGACCTTCAATGCTGCACACATTTTTTGGTACCCTTCCCCAGATCTGTGCCTCGACACAATCCTGTCTCTGAGCTCTACGGACGATTCCTTCGATCTCATGGCTTGATTTTTGCTCTGACATGCACTGTCAGCTGTGGGACCTTATATAGACAGGTGTGTGCCTTTCCAAATCATGTCCAATCAATTGCATTTACCACAGGTGGACTCCAATCAAGTTGTAGAAACATCAAGGATGACCAATGGAAACAGGATGCACCTGATTTCAATTTCGAGTCTCATAGCAAAGGGTCTAAATACTTATTTACATAAAGGTATTTTTTTATTTTATACATTTACAAACATTTCTAAAAACCTGTTTTCACTTCGTTATTATGGGGTAATTCAATATATTTTAGAATAAGACTAAAGTAACAAAATGTGGAAAAAGTCAAGGGGTCTGAATACTTTTCTGAATGCACTCAGTTATTTTAATCTTGTTTCCAATAGTTAATTCTTATTGTCAGTTGGATATGCTCTCTGCAAGGTTTTGTTAAATTATATCTTACCTATCATATGAGTATCTTTGAGTCAAATAGGATTCCTTCAACATTGCTCGGATGTCCAAAAGCTTTCAGGTCGAAATTTCGTGACAAACTTTTAAGTTGCATATATTTGAAAACGTCTACACTGGTCAGTCCAAAATTGCTTTTTACTTCTGTCATGGAAATCATTTTATTTCCTATTACCATTTCCTATACTATCATTTACGTGGGCCAATTTATCGGTGAATTCTGAAAAGCTATCAACGGATTGTTCCATAGGGGAGTGGTTTACGGAGTGATATTGGTCGTTGTAGAATACTTTTCATTTTCTTCCATGCTGTTATAGTGTTCTTAACTATGAAGTTAATGTTCTTAGCGCCTTCCTTTGAAAACAAACATGTGAAAAGGTTCTGGGTGTCACGATCGTCGGTAAGAGAGGAGGACCAAGGCGCAGCGTTGAATGCGAACATATTTATTATAGGTGATACACGATCAAAACAACAAAAACGATAACGTGACAGTCAACGGTCTAACACAAACCAACTAGAACAAGATCCCACAACTATTGTGGGAAAACAGCCTGTTTAAATGTGGTTCCCAATCAGAGACAACCAGCCACAGCTGACACTCGTTGCCTCTGATTGAGAACCACACTGGCAACATGGAAAAGAAACAACTAGACCTACAACACAGAAATCTACACACCCTGGCTCAACATAACAGTGTCCCCAGAGCCAGGGCGTGACACTGGGGATGACATGTACATCTTCAATATTCCTCTTTAGTGCATTTAACAATATGTTGCAAGTAAAAGCCTTGTGTGGCGAGTTGATACAATTACAAATCTGGTTAAAACCACCCTCAGATTTAGGGATATATAAAACTTTCATTTTTTTATTTGCCCATATAACGTCTTATGGCAGAGTATAGTTTAAAAAACATCTGGGATAAAGTTACCTTTATACACTGAGTGTACAAATCATGCCATTTCCATGACAGACTGACCAGGTGAAAGCTATGAACCCTTTTTCCTATTGCCATTTCTTTCCACGCAAGTTTTATATCCTGAGATCTTAGAATATTCCTAAAATATTTAACAAGGAGGCATTGAGTTTTCAATATTAGTCAGGTATATCAGGAGATTGTCAGCAAATACGTTTAGTTTATATTCATGTTTACCAATATCTGTTACGTTTGGGTCCTGTCTAATTCTTTCAACAAGCGGTTCAATTGCCAGTCCAAACAGGAGGGGGGAGAGAGTACATCCCTGTCTTGTACCCCTTTCTAAAGCAATTTGATCAGATAATGTATTATTTGTATACATTTTTGTTTTAGGATATTTATATAATATTTTTATGAAGCTGGAAAGTTGAATGCGTCTAAAGTTTTGAATAGAAAAGGCCATTCAAGATGGTCGAAAGCCTTTTCGGCATCAACAGCCATTATTCATAAATCTACATCTTGTTTTTTTAGCACATTGTATTATACTAAAACATGTTCTTGTATTTGTAAGTGTCTATTTTTAACAAACCTTGTTTGATTAATATGTATCAAGTCTGGTAATACTTTTGCCATTCCGTTGCTTATTAGTTTTGTTATTATTTTATGGACTCCAGATTTTCCTGGTTTTAATATAACTGAAATAACAGTTTGATACATGGAACTCAGAAGCACTGAAGTGAGTGATGCGTGTTGTCATTTGAATAAATAGGGGCTCTACTTTGTCCCAGAATATCAAATAAAATGTTATGGGAAAGCAGTCCATCCCTGGTGCTTTTCTCCTCGCAAATGTTTTAAGTGTCTAATATTTCTTTTTGTGTGAATTCCATTTTTTGTGTGATTTTTTTATTTTTTGAGTTTAACCTGTAGTTGTTGGCTCTCCAAGAGTAAAATATCTTATTCTTGCTTAAAATCAGAAATTGTATTCCCTTCTTTACCTTGTAAAGATTTGTTATGGGCTTTTTCTAAGATAGAAATGTAAATTAAAGAAAAATAAATCAAACTCATATTTTACTTTTGCAGAGAATGAGATTAGGGGATTGATAATGTATGCCTTAAAAGCATCCCAAATTATGTTGTGGGTCTGCTTTTCTCTGTCCTCTGTCTACATTTGTAAAAGGTCTTCATTTTTTAGTTTATGGATTTAATAAATGTAGGGTCTTGACGATGCGCTGTTGATTCTCCATATTCTGTCACTAAGTGCATTTTCTGTTGGTGTAATTAAGCATGATACAGGAGAATGATCCGATACCACTATCATGGATTTTAGAACACAGTATATTGTTGAGTGCATTTCTGGAAATAAAAATGTAGTAGATTCTTGAACAGCTTTTCTTATTTTTTGTTGTTGTCTTTTGTAGTTGGGAATAATAATCTCCAGGTGTTCTGTAGAATATTTGTAGAGATTACGTTTTTCAGCCCCTTTGGAGGTTCCTTGAATTTCCCTTTTTTATTGCCATGTGTGTCTAACTTGCTGAATGCATGATTTAGGTCACCTGCTAAAATAAGTTCCTGTGAGTTTGATCTATACTGAACAAAAATAAACGCAACATGCAATAATTTCAAAGATTTTACTGAGTTACAGTTTATATAAAGGAAATCAGTCAATTGAAATAAATTCATTAGGCCCTAATCTATGGATTTCACATGACTGGGAATACAGACACCTTAAAAAAAGGTAAGGGTGTGGATTAGAAAACCAGTCAGTATCTGGTGTGACCACCATTTGCTTCATGCAGCGCGACACATCTCCTTTGCATAGAGTTGATCAGGCTGCTGATTGTGGCCTGTGGAATGTTGTCCCACTCCTCTTCAATGGCTGTGCGAAGTTGCTGGATATTGGCAAGAACTGGAACACGCGGTTGTGCACATCGATCCAGAGCATCCCAAACATGCTTAATGGGTGACATGTCTGGTGAGTATGCACGCCATGGAAGAACTGGGACAGTTTCAGCTTCCAGGAATTGTGTACAGATCCTTGCAACATGGGGCTGTGCATTATCATGCTGAATCGGATGAATGGCACGACAGTGGGCCTCAAGATCTCATCACGGTATCTCTATGCATTCAAATTACCATCAATAAAAGACAATTGTGTTCGTTGCTTGTAGCTTATGCATGCCCACACCATAATACCACCATGGGGCACTC